ATCTCCCAGCTCTACACGATCTTTCTTTGCAAAGTTAAGGAATTTACACGAAAAGCCCTAAATTCATCTTTCCTTCTTCTTTCCATTTAGGGCTTTTCGTGTAAATTCCTTAACTTTGCAAAGAAAGATCGTGTAGAGCTGGGAGATGCCTCATTTTAATCAGAATTTTGCGGGCTACAATTATGACGTATTTAAAAAATTCTTGGGGATTTTTCGAGGTTTCTGGAAAACTAGTTTTCCAGAAACCGGTTAGGAAAGGCCTATGGGAAAAAACGGCTATCATATTCGGAATCAGCATGATCGATTACCTATAAGCTACCGCGTTTCGTTAGAAAAGCGATTTGACAGTTGAATATGTTCCCTCGTGAGTCAGTTTTTTCAAAATCTACTTTTTCTCCTATGTCCATATAAAATTAAAATATTCATAACTCAGTCATTTCTCATCCAAATCAAATTAAATTTTCAACAAATATTCAAAACAAGTCATGGATTATAAATCAAGCCGAAAAAACGGGGTTTGAGCCACGAATCGAGCGAAGGTTTTCAGAGACCTCCTTAAAAACGTCCAAGACTATGTATTGCATTATGCACTTTTTTCGACCTGATCTATAATTCATAACTTGTTTTGAATATTTGCTGAACATTTAATTTTGTTTGATGAGAAATGACTGGCGAGATAACTTCCCCAAGTGTGAAATCGCTTTTGAGCTGAAGCCTAGTGGGTTATGGATAATCGACGGTGTTGATTCTGAATATTATCATACCGTTTGCCGCTAGTCCTTCAAAGATCGGTTTTCTGGAAAATCAGTTTTTCGAAAACTCTAAAAAATAACCAAAACCTTTGTTAATGAGACATGATTGTAGCCCGCAAATTTCTGATTAAAATAGCTTTGAGCTAACAATAAACATTTAGAGCTTTTCTTGTAAATTCTATAACTTTGCAAAGAAAGGTCGTGTAGAGCTTTAAGATGTTTCATTTTAATCAGAAATTTGCGGGATACAATCACGTCTCATTAAGAAAGGTTTTGATTATTTTTTAGAGTTTCTGCAAAACTGGTTTTCCAGAAAACCAGTCTTTGAAGGTCTAGCGGCAAACGGCATGATGATTTTCGGAATCAGCCACGTCGATTACCTATAATCCACTACGTTTCAGCTCCAAAGTGATTTCACACTTGGGGAAGTTACTGCGTGAGTCAGAATCAAAAACTCAAAAGCTTGAATTCATTCTTCTACATATTCAGAGTGGCACTCTAAAGTTTACTTTTAACAAAAAATTAGAATAGTTGATCTTCGGCTTTTTCTTCCATATGATTTGAAAAATGAGTGATTCCACTAAGCTTTTGTATCCTTTTGTTTGAAAAAAATGTCTCATTTCCTTTGCTAGATTCATATGTGTATAATAATTTTATTTCTTCCTATCACTGGTGAGATAACAAGGAACAGTGATTTGAGGAGTAACAATGAGAACAAAAACAGCATGTTGGAGACCGAAGTCTTGCGAAGTTGACTTCAGCGTAATTGTGTTAGCTTATTTTTTCTCTAATGTTTCTCCTTATTGTCAATGTTTATCACTCATGGTTTTAACTGGTTGATGAGGTTGTTGTAGCACTGTGAAGTACTGTGCTTCCTTCGACATGTGTTTCAGCAGCCGATTTTGCTTGCGTTGTAATCACTGTTGTCGTCGTTGATTGAAGTTGTCTTGCTGCATCTTCTTGACCAAGTATTGCAGCTTGATCCGTTATCTCTTCAACTTTGACATTGACTGCATGTTGAGCCTCTTTCAGAACTAAAAAGGATATAAAATATTTTCCTTTACTGCTGCTGGATTTCTACAGAACAAATGAGGAACAAGAAACTTGTTACAAGAATAAACATCCTGAAATCTAACCTGCTAATTTTGCTGCATTTGCTTCTTCATTTAATCGATCGATGTTCTGACGTGCCTGTTCCAAAATTTGTTCTTGTAGTGCATTCAAACGTTTTTCCAAATCAGCGAGATGCTGAGCTTTTTCTAGATCTAATTGATCAACATGTCGTTGTAAACCTTGTTTATATTGCTCTTCAATTCCATCACATCGAATTTGAGCATCGGCTATCAATGCTTGCTGCTCAGCTTGAGTTTCTGACAAAATTTTTTGTAATAATATTTGAGCTTCGGCGCTTATTTCTGCTTGACGATGTTTTGAATATTCATCAATTTGAGAATGTGTTGAACCTGAAGATGGTAAAATATAAGAGAAGTTATACAGATGTCATTGTCTCTACCACTTACCGAGTCTTGACATTAACAGTGCCATTTTAGCTGCACTGTCCGTATCTACTTTTGACTGTGTTTCTGTACTAACAACAGATCGAACTTTTACGTTTTCGGCAATAGTTGTATGAGCCGATGCTGATGATTCGGTAGCCGTCGCTTCTTGATGTTGTGTAGCCGACATATTTGAGTGAATTAATTAAATCTAAAAACTCAAAAAGCTTATTCATAGAGTATAATTATAAGATTTATCACAGACACTACGTTATTTTGCACTAAAACGGATACTCCAATGTCAACTATATATATATATATATTTGGCAATTAAGTACATAGTGTATCTGCACAATAACATCATGACCGTTGTGAACGTTAAAAGAATAAAATTACAATCCCTGTTGAAACAAAAATATTTTTTCTATTTCTATATAAGAATTTGTTTGTTGTCTCAGTCAATGATAGATAAACGTAATGTTTTAAGAGCGGATAGATAACAAAATGTAGAAATAAAGGGTAAACAAGTACGAACTAAAAAAAACGAAAAGATCGGTGTATGTATGTTAGAATATCAAACGAAAAGTTTTGAATGAAACCTGAAATTATGCAACTCATCAAGATATTGTTTTATCGGAAAGTAAATACGCGTACCGTATTGTTATTATAGTTTAATGAAAAAATAATTAACATAAATAGAGTCGGAGCTCATATGATTCTTTGCGAATGGTGATACGGAATGTAATAGGATAAAGTCTCTGTTTGTCTAAGAAAATTGAATACTATCTGCACAGTCCGTTGTTGTTATCTCTTTCTTGTTTTTAGTATGTCTCATCAAGTATATTCTTCATTCAACTATCGTATCGTAGTCAATACTTTATTGAAGTTGACGATTAGAAATTTCCGTGTAATTTTAATAAAAGTGCTAATATTTTATTGAAAATTTTAAAGAAAAAATTCTGGACATGAAATTCTGAAAATGATATTTCACTTCAAAACTGACAATAGTTATCGGGTAACATAACAAAAAAAGGATAACGAACTGTAGGTTTGTTTTGAGGATACTAGATGTTTCAGTGACTATATTTGTCTTGGAATAATATCTTTAGTAGTTTTAGTTTAGAACAAAACTACCTGTTGTTATAGTATAATGGAAGAGTTCAGGCTCGATGGGAGCTTTTCCGAAGATTTTAGAAATGTAGACGTAGATGTTGATAACAAGTCAAGTATACTGATAATTTTCTTGGGAGCGAAACGCCTTCAATCTTCCCATTTTCTCTGACACCAACATCTTTAACATCTTTCATCTTTCTTCGACGTTCTAATAGATTATGAATATACTTAAGTTGACAAGAATAATACCAACAAAAATACCAGCTTCAACTGTAACCTTTTTTTCTGAAGTTGGAGGCGTTTTTGAATTTGTATCTGCTTTGAATTTGCCAGTATTTTACAAACTTCGATCCCAGTGATGTCGACAATAGTCTGATGAGAGAAATCGGTTTATTTTTTGAAGTTATTATTTTTTTTGTAGTATAGAAGACTTTTCTGGCTGAAATGAGACAGAATCAAGCATTCATTTACAGCACTCTGCAAAAGTAAGAGCACCTTTGTCATGAAAACAGTATTATCGGTAAATAACGAGCTTATATCTGAAGAAGAGAAACAAATTTTACTGTTCTTGCATACTTTTTGTCTAAGAAATTTTCAGCAATCACGCACTATCAGAACCGATTATGACTACATTTTATTTACAAAACATAATCTAACAGTTTTTGTTTGTTCAAATATTACTTGAATGTTAATGTTAAAAAGATTTGCCTAATTGAGATCACAATTCGAGAACTTCTAGTTCAATCAATATATTCAGTTACAAGTAAGAGCTTTCTATAGCATAATGTTTATTTATCAATGTTCTGTTTCTAATTGAAACCATCATACTAGGAATTTCATCATGAAATATAAAACAAGAATAGCTTTAGTACTTGTATGTAGGCATGTGCGCCGAGAAAAAAATTTCGGCGGCGGCGAATAAAGTTTTTTCCATAGGAGGCGGCACCAGACTGTGAAAATTTCCTCCGCCTTCGCCGGCGGCGTCCGAAAATTGATTCTCGGCGGCGAATCTCATAATTTAAGTAAAACAACGTTCACTTTCATTTCTGGCACATTCTTCGCGCATCAACTGTATCTGTACGTTGCCGTATACGAAAAGATAGAAACGCGTAGCACGCTAGATGCCTAAGGTGAGAACGTACTAACAAAAATAGTCAAAATTTTCGGAAAAAATTTTCTCCGCCATCGGCGATGACAAAAGGTTTTTTTCAAGTGTTAAAAGGGAATTTTCGATTCCGGGACAGAGGCAATTCTCTATCCAACTATGTAAAAACTTTTCAAAACTAATTTAGTTTAACTTAATTACAATGATAAAAATATTCAAATATACAGCGTTTTTTACACCCTCGAAGAGTGTGCGTGAAAAATAGAGTCGAATGACATATATCTCATGTGTTTTCCATTACTATCACTTTTCACCAAAAAATTTTTGTCCATTTTCTACATTTGAATCACTATCTATTTTAGTTTTTCGATGCTTCCTCAACTAGGGAACCTCGAAATACTCTTTTTGGCGGAAAACAAGAAAATTGAGGTAAATTGAAGATTACGCCTTATCCAACCATTTCGGACACTTCTAATACGGATATTCGTGATCAGCGTGGTGAATTACATATTACAACGTGGGTTTGGAAAAAATCAAAATGAAAAGTTCTACAGAAATCCTGGAGAGGACCTCAGGCCTCAAAAACCTGTCCGAGAGATTTCGCGAAACTAAGTGTCTGGAAATATTCCTGAGCATCCCCTGACATGTTCCAATGCAAAAAAAACGAAAGTTTTGTGGACCAGGCAAGGGTCTTATCCGCCCTACTCCTTTTGCGAAATAAACTATTCTGAGATGAAGTTTAAAGCTGTATTTGCGTGTGTTTTTAGTAAGAACGATGCTTACGGATAGGAAGAGCTTAAGGTTTGCTTACTAGACGTATGCTTTAGATAATTTATGTTTTGAAAATGTGAAATGAAAATTCAATGATAAAGAAATGAAAATTACCAGTAAAAGAAATATTCTAAAGCTGCTTCGAATCTGTCGTATAATTTTGATCTCAGAAAACTTTCCATACCAACAAATAATGCTGATACTAAGCGAATCGGTTACATCTTTTACCGTGCGAAAATAAGCGGAAAGTTATACTTTTCTGATAGTCAAATTTATCTGTTTAGGCTCACTTTATTTGTGCGAGTAGCACTTAGTTAGAAGAACATTCTTGTTATGAGATCATATGCTGATTTTTTCCTTCAGATAGCAGTTACAACTTTTTTCTGACGACAGATAAAAACGCCATGTATTTGAATGGGACTGTCATAAATAGTAACAAAAAATCGCTTCACTGCCATACTTAAGAACAGTTCCTATTGATGGCAGGCCATTCAGTTTGCTGTGCGGCGAAGATGAAGGTGAAAACCCGATCTGTCTTCGATAAAAATAATACCATTCGATTCCTTGTGATCAGAGGAACATTTCTATATATTTTGCTTTTAAAACATTTTAATTTTGTCCGTCAAAAAAACTTTTTTTCTTCGAGGAAAAAACGCAGTGTATTTGAATCTTTTTATCATTGTAATTCAGTCAAACTAATTAGTTTTGAAAAGTTTTTACATAGTTGGATAGAGAATTGTCTCCTCTGTCCAGGAATCGAAAATTCCCTTTTATCACTTGAAAAATAGCTGCGAAAATCGAGATTTAAGAAACAGACAACAGTCTTAATCCTTTACACCCGCCGGTCCCTTCCAAGGGACGTTAATATAATAGATTTATGAAAAGAACGGATCATCAGCCAAAAAGCTAGATTATTACTAATGTAAGACAATACAGTAGCCTAACGTTTGATTGAAAGAAGAAAGAAAAATGTCCATCTTAATCCGATATTTTG